TCTGTAACAGAAGCTCACACAGAAATGTCACGCCTCATGTAGAGACACAGCGCGGCGCTCTAACCCAAAATTTTATATTCTACTTAAAAATATAAAAAATGTCATAAGAGAGAAAATAACAAAACAACAAACAGGACTTTTTCTTAAGCCATAATCTCTATCCACCTTTGTTACTGCACACTAACATCTGACTAATACGTATTTCACATGATTTGGGATATATATCCATTTGGGTTGTAAATCTTATGTTTTTTTTATATATAAACACTGATTTTTTTTCTGGCATTCGTACTCTATCTCTGCTTATAGCCGTCTCCTTACTATACCATCCATCCTGCTGTCACAGCCACCTACCTGCTAATTTAGCTCCTCTTGTGCTGTATGTTCACCTTAAATCATATCTTATAGTAATAATAGTAAAAATATAGTAGAATAGTTCCAAAGGGAACATAAATCACTGTAGCTCTTCTCAGAGTAATCTAGATCTGCGGGAGACAAGATTATCCTACCTGTTGTAATGGAGACCCTATGGTTAGATTGTCAGCTATTGCCTTATTCCTAGTTTTACGCTCCCATTATGTAAAGTAGCACAATAGCGTTAGGAATACAAACATAAATTACTAATTCTATAGTGTCCTACTAACTATTTAGGTGACTGGCCCCTCATTTTGCAATTTGAAAAAAAGGCAAATTTACTCACTATTTAGCCCTCACCACGATGGTGTCTGCACTGCTAGTCCTGCCTCCTTGGCTGAGATTGTCATTCTTGATGATCTTAGCCAATCCAATGCTTCCCCATAAGAAAGTACTAGAAGGGTAGTGCGCATGCTAGGTAAATCGCAGCACTGTGCAAACCTAATGCTCCCTGCAATAGAGTTTGACTCGATTCTCACATGGGAAACACATCTAGTATCTGTCTAGGAAGATGACCATTAGAGGTGTGTTAAAGGACCACTCTAGGAACCCAGACCACTTCAGCTTAATGAAGTGGTCTGGGTGCCAGGTCCAGCTAGGGTTAACCCATTTTTTAATAAACATAGCAGTTTCAGAGAAACTGCTTTGTATATTAATGGGTTAAGCCTTCCCCCAAAGCCTCTAGTGGCTGTCTCATTGACAGCCACTAGAGGCGCTTGCGTGCTTCTCACTGTGATTTTCACAGTGAGAGCACGCCAGCGTCCATAGGAAAGCATTGTAAATGCTTTCCTATGCGACCGGCTGAATGCATGCAGCTCTTGCCGGCGTGCGCATTCAGCCGACGGGGCGGATCGGAGGAGGAGAGAAGGAGGAGAGCTCTCCGCCCAGCGCTGGAAAAAGGTAAGTTTAAACCCCTTTCCCCTTTCCAGAGCCGGGCGGGAGAGGGTCCCTGAGGGTGGGGGCACCCTCAGGGCACTATAGTGCCAGGAAAACGAGTATGTTTTCCTGGCACTATAGTGGTCCTTTAACCCTGAAATAATAACATATGCCGTATCTAATGTTTTAGATTACAGGCTTAACCATAACCACTTAACTGAGCAGAAGTGGTCTGGGTGCCTTTACGGGTACTTTAACTCTTTTAGAAGCACAGATTATGCAAGCGAGCAATATAGTGTCCTTCCCCTAATCAAACAAAACAAAGCATTCCTTTTTCATGATATTCCCAGATCAGGCCCCACAACATGTCTATGCCAGCCATACTCTGACAGTGACTCTCACAGAGATTACTGAACCACTACCTCTGCTGGAAGGCTGTTCCAAACATCAACTACTCCTGGAAAAAACAAATATGATAAATATACACTAAACTGGGAACTGTTTATAAGTGACAAGACAATTTCAAATGTTACGCCTACATTTTTTAATTGGACAAAAATCTCAAAGTTTGCAATTTTTCCCCCAGCTCCCCCGTTTTGGCACAAAACTTGCGATTCCCTTGTCTTTCTAATCTACACAATTTTCGTTCTAGTGACCTCATGTTTTTCTATGCCACCACCTCTTCACCTTCCGAGAATTCTCTCTCTTTTTTTAGGCCTCTTTAGGATATCCCCTCTAAATACTGCATTCAAATAAATAGAGACATTTGGTAAAATTATACATCAGCATTTCTGCCCAAACTGCGCATTTTGCCATCTCTAATTGAGCTTTTGAACTTATATTTTTATATAGTCACTGAAGATAAAACCTCTTACCTTGGCCCCCCTCCACACACACACATCAAAGCAGACATTAATAATCCTTATGGAAGGATTAACGGTTAACAGCATCCCTGGGGGGAAATTAGCTGCTGATATTTTAAGGAAGATCGGTCCCAAGGCATCTTTAGCGAACAGACCCTTTTCCCAGCGTTTGTATTTAGGAATCTGTGAGTGGGGATATACAATCTACATAACCTCAAGAGAAAAAAAGAGCAGTTCTTTTATGATTTCCTGAAATCTAAGTTAGGTTTTGTTTTTTTCTAACTATTGTTTTCGAGGCCCCCCTGCCATTTGTTAACTATTGCTTTCTAGACATACAAAGGGTTAAACCTGCATAGAAGACACAAGCTTAAGAGAAAGGCAGCTTTTGCTTAAAATTGGACAATTAGAAAGGCGTCCTTAGCAACCAAACCATTAATAAAAATTCCATAATTTTGTGAAAGTATTGTTTTTTTATTTTATTATTTTCTAAAACAAAAAACCCCAAAACCACACACTCAAGGCTGACAATACCTTAGACTGAGTCACACAGTAATGGAGTAGCAGTATTACAGTAACCTTCATGATGGCGTGTTTGAGGGTACTTAGTGAGGGGATTCCTGTACTCGAAAAGATGTTAACTGTAATTTCAACCTTCTCAGCCAGACGATGTCTTATTCTGAGCGATGGCTGGTAAAGTACACTGATCAAAAAAATAAAGGGAACACAAAAATAACATCCTAGATCTGAATAAATTAAATATTCTTCTGAAATACTTTGTTCTTTATATAGTTGACAGTGCTGACAACAAAGTCACACTCAAAATTAAAGTGGAAAAACACACTACAGGCCAATCCAACTTTGATGTAATGTCCTTAAAACAAGTCAAAATGAGGCTCAGTAGTGTGTGTGGCCTCCACGTGCCTGTGCATGCTCCTGATGAGGTGGCGGATGGTCTCCTGAGGGATCTCCTCCCAGACCTGGACTAAAGCATCTGCCAACTCCTGGACAGTCTGTAGTGCAATGGTTGGTGGATGGAGCGAGACATGATGTCCCAGATGTGCTCAATTGGATTCAGGTCTGGGGAATGGGCAGGCCAGTCCATAGCATCAATGCCTTCATCTTGCAGGAACTGCTGACACACTCCAGCCACATGAGGTCTAGCATTGTCTTGCATTAGGAGGAACCCAGGGCCAACCGCACCAGCATATGGTCTCACAAGGGGTCTGAGGATCTCATCTCGGTACCTAATGGCAGTCAGGCTACCTCTGGCAAGCACATGGAGGGCTGTGCGGCCCCCCAAAGAAATGCCACCCCACACCATTACTGACCCACTGCCAAACCGGTCATGCTGGAGGATGTTGCAGGCAGCAGAACGTTCTCCACGGCGTCTCCAGACTCTGTCACGTCTGTCACATGTGCTCAGTGTGAACCTGCTTTCATCTGTGAAGAGCACAGGGAGCCAGTGGCGAATTTGCCAATCTTGGTGTTCTCTGGCAAATGCCAAACGTCCTGCATGGTGTTGGGCTGTAAGCACAACCCCCACCTGGGGACGTCGGGCCCTCATACCACCCTCATACCACCCTCATGGAGTCTGTTTCTGACCATTTGAGCAGACACATGCACATTTGTGGCCTGCTGGAGGTCATTTTGCAGGGCTCTGGCAGTGCTCCTCCTGTTCCTCCTTGCACAAAGGCGGAGGTAGCGGTCCTGCTGCTGGGTTGTTGCCCTCCTACGGCCTCCTCCATGTCTCCTGATGTACTGGCCTGTCTCCTGGTAGCACCTCCATGCTCTGGACACTACGCTGACAGACACAGCAAACCTTCTTGCCACAGCTCGCATTGATGTGCCATCCTGGATGAGCTGCACTACCTGAGTCACTTGTGTGGGTTGTAGACTCCGTCTCATACTACCACTAGAGTGAAAGCACCGCCAGCATTCAAAAGTGACCAAAACATCAGCCAGGAAGCATAGGAACTGAGAAGTGTTCTGTGGTCACCACCTGCAGAACCACTCCTTTAATGGGGGTGTCTTGCTAATTGCCTATAATTTCCACCTGTTGTCTATCCCATTTGCACAACAGCATGTGAAATTGATTGTCACGCAGTGTTGCTTCCTAAGTGGACAGTTTGATTTCACAGAAGCGTGATTGACTTGGAGTTACATTGTGTTGTTTAAGTGTTCCCTTTATTTTTTGAGCAGTGTATATACCTCCAAAGCCCACCATAGGTTAGGGCACCATTAAGGGGCTAGGAGGGGCTATGTGTACTCTAGGAGTTATGAAGTATAACTACTATCATTCTCAACCAGACGATTGGAGTAAAGGTCCACACTGTTTCCGGAGTTCCCATTAGATTTTGGTAATATACAAGAGGGTTAGGGCATATACTGATGTACACTGTGCTTTAAGGATGCTCAATTTCACTGTAAAAACATCATAAAAGGTCGGCGGGGCCTGACCTTCCTCCAGTATGGACCTGTAATGAGAGAGCTCCTTGTCAATTCCCTAATATTATGGTTAAAACTTAAACTTCCTCTTCAAACGACCTATGCTGAGTCCTACCGCAACTCTCACCAAGCAGATCCACCATACTGAAGCTGCGGGCGGTATATCTGGCTGTTTTGGCAAAGCATCGAATGGGAGAGGCGACCAATCTCATATCCTGAGGCGCTGTATTCCAGCCCAACTGCACACAGGGCTCCAAAGAATCTTGCCTGTACCCCACTCCTCCCTACCCCAACCCCCTCCCCCCGTCTGGACTGGCAGGGGTGGTCCCGGTCCCCACCCTGGCAGCTACTCTTTGTGACAATGCTGTAAAGATTGGCAACTCTGACCGCGGTGCACCCAAGATGGCGGCTGCCGCGTGTACCCGGGACACCCTGGGAGAGGCACCCGACATTGTACAATGGCTGAACGCGCTGTTTGAGGCCTTCTGGAGAAGATTATGTGACAAGGTATTCCCATCAGCTCCTATGGTAGCAAACACACCTTCAAGACCACTCCGAAGCCCCCAACGCCACAGAGCTTGCCGGAGGAGGGGAATGCTTACCAGACGCACCACCAGGAAGGTGCTGGGCAAAGCAGCGCTGAACACTCACAAGGCCAGCACCTGGAGGGTGAGGAAAGAAGCTGTACAGAGAAGGCAGCAACTCATGAGGCGTAAGAGGCCGCATCAGCGGCGCATCGTGAAACCTGCAGTATGTCGGCAAGCCCCGATGCCACAAAACACCAGCTCAAACATCTGGGTCGTGCAGCAAGATGGAGTGATGGGAGGACAGCAGCTACAGACACAGAACCCGCAACTGACACCATCGCCTGTGAGAAAACAGGCTCAAGAAAAGTGGGACTGTAAATTCCCTATCATAGGAATAGGCTATGTTGAGCCTCTGGTTGCCTGATATACCCCAGCATACAGATTCCTCCAAGCTCATTATTGTTTCCTAGTAGTCATACAGTAACTCTGATTTTCTTTGTATACAACCAATCTCAATGTTCTCCTGCAATTTTTTCGGCTACCATCTAAGTGGGATGTTCATAGTATAACTCTAGGTCAGTCTAGGGTGGTACAAACTGCAGATATCTTATGCCTAACATGTCTTCCTAACATACTTAGCTTGTAATAGTCAGCAATAGCATCTAGACATGTATGCCTAGCTTGTTTCCTACATAATATACAAAAACGGGCCATTGTCTCTATGTCATACGGATGTTTTCCTCTGTTTTAATATTTTCATGTTTGTGTTCACTGTTGTGGAATCACAAGCCTCTTTGCTATAATGTGCATAACAAGAATAAAGTATTAAAAAAAAAAATACATCATGAAACACATCGAGCTATTATTTTCTAAGTGGAAAGACTGGTTATACTCAAAAATAAAAGGAAACCTTTCAGAGGCCGAGAGTGGTACGGCATGCAGTTTTCTGAGAGACCAAGCCATTAGTTATTGCTTAATGAATATGGCCAGGTGGGTTCAGCTATTCACCCGTACATGTAAATGGAGCACACCTGCGCTGCTTGCCTCTAAAGAAAGAAGCTGCACAAAGACTCAGGTACGCATAATTAAACTCTCATTAGAGGCTGTTATGGAGGACACCTGTGCCCACGCTGCCCAGAATAACAGTGCCTTCATTGTGGGACTCTGGCTGGGTAACCGAACAGGTTCGTCAAACCTGGAAATATGCAACTGTGCCTTTAAAGTGGTATTCCAAGAGTCAGGGAACAAAAGATTACAAGCAAGCAAATACATTTCTGTCACTTTAGCAAACTTCGTGTCAGCAAAGCCCTTTAGGGTCTATTTACTAAATAGTGAATTGAAGTTTACAAAATACTGAAACATGGACGCATCTGTGTGGAAAAGAAACTTTTTAGAATGGTTATGGCGGCCAACAGGGACTATGCTACCTGTCTGGGAAGGGACTTTTTGGTCAGGTCGGTGATAGGTTTGGCCAGTGCACTGTACTCGGGGACAAACTTAGGAACGCTAGTACCCGAGTCTTGGTACGGGGATGTGCCCAGTTAGCAACAGCTTCCACCTTGGCAGGTTCGGGTTGCTGTTGCCCGAACCTACCCTATCGCCGAGATACTGTACCTCGGCCATACCGAAATGACACTTATCAGGCTTCAGAGTTAGCCCTGCTGCCTGAATTCACTTCAATACCTTAGATAGGTGCTCCAGATGGTCTTCCCATGTGCGGTTGTATAGTACAATATCATCTAAATACGCGCATGCAGAGTCCTGAAATCCTTCTAAGAGCCCATCGGCGATTCTCTGAAAGGTAGCCAGGCATTTTTCATCCCAAAGGGCATAACCTTAAACTGGTATAGCCCAAATGGGGTAATGAATGCTGACTTAGGAATGGCCGCTGACTCCAGGGTTTTTTTCCAAAAGCCTTTGCTCAAATCTAGGGTAGTCAAGTAATTCCCACCATCCATGCCATCTAGTAACTCGTCTATCCTGGGCATAGGGTAGGCTTCAGTTACTGTCCTGTTGTTAAGCTTCCGGTAATCCATACAGAAGCGAGTCATGCCGCCTCACTTGGGTACCACCACTACCGGCAAAGCCCAAGGACTCAGAGCGTTCGATAACTCCCAGCTTTAACATCTTGCCTCAGGGATATGGTCTGGTTGTTGCCATAGAGGGGTTTCTCCCCGGGTCTCAACTCGGTGGACCGCAGCGGAGGTGTATCCGGGTACAGCAGAGAACATCTCCCTGTATCCATGGAACAGCTGAGAGGGCTCAGTCTTCTCTAAGGGGTTTAATTTTTCGCCTAGTCTGACTAGAGGGTGCGAACAAGTCAGATAGGGGAAGGCCCTCACTATCTTCAAATGAAGGGGCACATACTGCTGCTACGTCTTCCACCCGCTCAAAGTAAGGCTTGAGCATGTTCACATGAAAGGATCTCTATATCCTTTCATCTGAACATTTTCCTACTATGTAGGTAGTGTCGCTTATACGCTCCACTACCAGGAAAGGTCCCTGCCAGGCGGCCTGAGTCTTGTCTTTCTTAGACGGCTTCGGCGCCAATACCTTCTGTCCTACTTCTAGAATCCTATCTCGGAAGCCCCTATCGTACCACGTCTTCTGGCACCGCTGGGCCGCCTGCAGATTCTCCTGGACTGAGTCAGTAAACATCTGCAAGCGGTCCCTCAACTCCAGAACATATGGTACAATAGGTATTCCTCCGTCTCCTGTGTTACCCGCCCAGTGCTCCCATGTGAGATCTAGGGAGTTCGAAGGGGAAGAACCCGGACCAACATAATAAAAAATCACCCTGATCGGTTCAAGGGTTTGGGAGTTCCATGGAAGTCTTAAGTTGGCAGACCGCACACGAGGCTCCTGCACAGAAAGAGTTCCATGAAATTAGGCTGTGTGGTAGGTCTCTTTCGGTAAGTCTAAAAACCGAACAGATCCATGAACGGTTCCCCTGGCTCATAGGTAGGTAGCAGAGCCAGAGAACGAAACACTGCAAGAGCACTGGGAGAGGTAGGAGGAGCACCAGGAGAGAGCAATATCTTGTAGACCGATATTGCGAAGGATGAGAAAAGGCTGTTGATGATCAACAGCGTCAAGAGCCACAGACAGGTCAAGGAGAATTAGGATAGAGTAGTGACCACGAGATTTTGCAGTGAGTAGATCATTGGATACTTTGGTCAGTGCTGTTTCCACAGAGTGCTTAGCGCGGAAACCAGACTGAAGCGGGTCTAGCAGAGAGTTGGACTCGAGGACGTCTGTCAATCTCGCATACACAATTTTTTCAAGGATCTTGGATGCAAAAGGCAGTAGCGAGATAGGACAATAGTTGGATGGGGAGTTAGGGTCAAGATTGGGCTTCTTTAGAATTGGGGTTACAGTTGCGAGTTTGAAGGGAGGAGAGATTACGTTGACACAGGAGCAAATCCCTGTGAGGTTATTCGCAATGCTACCCTGGTAAAGCCACTATGCTAATTAAGAGGTGAAGAGGTGCATGTTTGTTAAGGGACCGTTTTGACTAGAAAATGCAGACTTATCCACTATCTGTCTCCTACCAAAGGGTCATCAGTAAATGATGATATGGATAGGGTGGCCGAGTTGGTTAAGCGGTCTGGCAAAAATGCTCTGTTGACTAAGGGAGATATAGAGACGGCTTTTACCCATCCATCCTTATTGCCGTCACTTAGTAGGATACTTTTTTAAAGGCAAGTTGTTTGTGGCTTTGTATCTATCGATGGGTTGTTCCATCTCATGTGCTTACTTGAAAATGTGTAGCACTTTTGTGGAATGGGTAGTTAGAGAGGAAGCCGGTAGTGAATTTATTGTTGCCTATACATGATGAGACCACTGAAATGGGTAGCCCAACTGTGCGGTGTAATATAGGCGGCTGACAAAGTGGAGGACACAGCTACATGTCTTACTTCCTAGGTTTGGAAATTGTCTCGGAGAGGAGTGGGTATAGGCTTCCTGTGGACAAAGTAATTGCATTGCAGCAGGTTGTGGCAGAGGTAAAAGAGGCCAGGAAGGTGACATTGAGGCAACTACAATCTTTGATCGGCCATCTTAACTTCGGGTTATCCCGATGAGGCAAGTTTTTAACAGGTTTTTGGCTAAGCCTACTTGTGGGAAAGAATTGGCTCATCACTTTATTCAGGGTTACTGATGCTAACGAGGCAGAGGTGGAAGTATGGGAAACATTTCTTTATTGGGGCAGTGTTTTCAGAAAAGTGGTGGTTTCTCCTGAGTAGCTTGAGCCCTTTATTAAGGCTTCAGGGAGCATTCGGCTTTGGGACTTATTTTGGAAGTCAATGGTGTGTAGAGGTCTGCAGAGTAGAAAATATATACACTCATCTGCAAACTAGCATTCTTCGGATTGTTTCCATTGGTGATGACACTTTCATTGTGGGTCGAGCAGTTGAGGCATAGAAAAGTTATATTCTTCCCTCACAATATGTCGGTTGTTCTCGCAGTTAATCACCTGTTTGCTTCATCGATGGACATGGACATGGGCATTTAAAAAAATAAATAAACATTCTCAGTATGAAGACTTGTTATTTACTTGAGCGTTTGTGTTTGGTTCCTTAGGGTTGATTGCATTGTTGGTGGGCACAATACATTCGTATGTACACTGGGCACAGTAGAGAGCTGCAGCTGGGCTTTCCGGTGGACCACGTTACATTAATGTGGCTCCTGTTTTGTGGTTTCAGGTGGAGAGAGTGTGTTGGTAGATGTTTAGCAGGTTGGATGAGGTAGGGGTCTCCAGATTTGTTTTATTTTATGCAGACGGTAATGACCTGGGGCAGGTGCAAAAGCTGGAGTTGGTTAAACAAATGAAAACTGATGTGAACCAATTGGAGGAGTTAGTGGCAAGGGTAATGATTATTTGGTTGGAAATGATTCCCCGGTTTCACTGGAGACATGATCAAGGTCAATAAATTAATAGTGGGTGATTAGGCACCTGTGGCTGAAATCAATTTTGCCAGGTTATTTTTGCATGGATGGGGTGCAGCTTTCGGATGTTGGTCTTCACCGTTTCAATTTGGGAATACAGGAAGGTTTGGCCAGGACATTGTATATTGGGGGTGGCTGTGCTCAGACATCTATGGGGTCAAGGTCTAAACTGTGGCGGGGGACTGGATAGGTAAATTGGGGGGGTGGAATAAGTTGTTGTTAGGGATTGAACTAATTATGTGGTTTAAAGGTTGGTATGGTAGGTTTCGAGCTGGCATGTGGCTCAGTACCTGGGGTGTAGTGGTATCCTGGTATATCCCTACATTGAATCATTTGGACAAGCTGGGATGGTAGGTTTCGAGCTGGCCTGTGGCTCAAATCCTGGGGGTGTAGGGATATCTCGGTATACCCCTACATTGGATCATTCAGGCAAATTGTTTGCACTTTATGATGTTTCATGATGTTATTTATGTTGTT